GAGTGAGACTCCGTCTCAAAAAAAAAAAAGGAAAAGAAAAGATAAAGGTGAAAGCTTTCACCAACAGAGTAAATGATGCCATGCTGCTGTGGGCTAGCATTTAAGAGAGCTGGCAGCTGTCACTGTGCTCTCTTGCAGCCTAAGCCACCACAGAAAAAGTCAGACCATCTGCTGGAAGGACCACATGTAGAGGCCCTGAGTCGACATGGAGAGGGAGAAGGACTTGACTGAATCCAGACTTCCAGCTGCCCCTACCAAGGTGCCAGGTATGTGAGTGAAGCTGTCTTGGACTCTGAAGACCAGCTCAGCCACCAGGCAAATGCCACTAAGTGACCGCACTCAATGTTGTATGCAGCAGAAGAATCACCCAACCAAACCCTTCCTGGATCCCTGACCCAGAAATCTGTCTGATGTAATGGTTGTTTTAAGCCACTCAATTTGGGGGCAGTTTGTTACGCAGCATAGCTAGCTGGTGTGATAGAACAGCCTGCAGTTCAGGCAGCAGCAGCACTGACAACCATGAAATCCTGCAGGAGGGAACTCCTTTGGGGTGTCTGCCTAATTGTTCCCTTTTCTGAGAGTCTCTTCCCCAGCATCCCCTAAACCACCCTCCTGAATCCTCCTTTCACCCTAGCCTCTGGGGAGACATGTGGCCACGCTGGGCCGGGTGGATTCTCTCCCTGCCAACTCCCTTCCTCCCTTCCACAGTTGACAGGAGTGGGCATTTGACTCAAGCTGGGCCATGCAGATCCTGTCTCCCAGACATGTGGGACCAGGGATCAGAGGTGGCTGGTCATTCTGCATCTGTGGCTAGCAGTTCTTGAGATGCAAGTTTGGAGGGGCTGGAGGCAACCGTCTTCCTATGGTGTGTAGGGAACCTAGAGAACGCTGGTCTGCGGTGGAAGGAGTGCAATGCAGGTGTGCAGTCAAGCAGAGAGAAGGGGCTTCCTTCTGTTGACCTTCCCTCTGCCAGGTGGGGATGACGGGGAATGAGGCAAGCACAGCCTTGTCTTCCAGCCTCCCGTAGGCGCCACACACTCAGAAAGCCCAACACCAAGCTCCTCTCTTCCCAGGCTATTTCAAATCCTGTCTTCCCCACCCTGATGAAGGGCAACCATCCTTTGTCTGAACTAATCACAAGGAGAGAGCTACTCTTTCTTTCTCCTTCACCTGCAAGTCCAACTGATCAGCAAACCCTGCCTGTCCTGCCATGACCCATGGCAGTGGCCCGGCTCTTGCCCTCACACTGTCCCCAGATCTCTCTCTCTTTTTTTAGAGACATGGTCTTGTTCTACCACTGGTGTAGTGGTGTGATCACAGTTCACTGTAACCTCAAATTCTTAGGCTCAAGCAATTCTCCAGGCTTGGACTCCCAGAGCAGTGAGATTACAGGCATGAGCCTCTCTCTCTCTCGACACAGATCTGGCCTCGCCACCGCTCTGCTCACTGACCTCCCATGCTCCCCCTTTGTCCTGGTCAGCGGTGGCCTTCACAGCTACAGCAGATGGTCTTGCTGGAGGTCAGTGATGGCTCTCCTGTGACAAACTTTACAAGCTGCTCCCCACAAACCCTGCTTATTTTCCCACCTCTTCCTTCCCTCTAGACGGAAACTTCATCTGCCCTTCCCTGCCTGGAAAACTCAAACCACGCTCAAGGTCAGACTGGAATGACACCTCATTTATGAAACGCCTTCTGGCTTCTGTGTGTTAAACGCAGTGCTAAACATTTTCTCTGCATAATCTCTACATACCAAACTGCAGGCGATGGTCTCCTTTTTACAGAGGAAGAAACTGAGAGGGTAGGCAACCCTCCTAAGGCCGCATGTCAGGCAGGTGTGGGAGCCAGGATTGCTGCCCACAGCTGCCAGCCTGCAAAGCCACTCTCATCTACCACACTTCTCTGTGACTTTTAATCCTCCATCCTCCTTGGGGGCAAGGGAGGGGACTCACGGCACCGTCCCCTCAGTTTCCAGAGCAGTTACTGCGCAGCGCTCGCCACCGTCCACGGTGCGTGCAGGTCTAGTGCCAGGTGGGGAGGCGGCCAAGGGCAGGGAAGGGCACAGTTATTGCTGCGTCCCAGCGCCTAGTCCAGTGTCAGCAAGTGTTCAAGAAATGGGAGCTGAAATGAGACGCTGCTCTGGGTTGACTAGCAAAGCTGTGCTCACCCAGGTGGCCTCATTCGACAGCCTCCTCAAAGCTTTCCTGCCGCCTGTTAGTTATGGCAAGCCTTGGTCTGAGTACACCGTGTGTCCCTGGAGGCTGTGACTGCCCTCTCCCTCCCAGTGTGTGGCAGAGGGTGGAGTCTGCCTTCTCAGGTTGTGGCTCTTTGGAGCCCCCACAGCTGGGTGACCTCAGGGTTCTGCCTACCCATGACAGCATCTCCTGCAACCACGCTTTCTTTAAACACAGCAAAAACAAGACAAAGCCGGTGGCAGGCTGAGGGGCAGAGCCAGGTGGGATGGCCAGAAGGAGGGCATGCAGACCACAAGGGGAAGTGGGGCACAGCCACAACACTGCCCGCTCCATCCTGTCTGGTCCCACACATCTCGCCACAAAGGACACAGCTCCTCTCATTTTAAGAACCCATATAAATGCAGAAGGAAGTCACGCACACACACACACACGCACACTCACGTGCGGGCACACACCCACACACTCATGCACCAAAGCCCTCAACTCAGCAAGAAGCCTCGTCTTTTCAGATCCCAAACACTGGGCAGGCTTTGTTCTCCACCCACAGACCCGAGGCCTTCTCGGTAGGAAGGAGTTGGAGTTGGAGAAAAGGGAGAATTAAGAATCTATCTGGGAATGCAGATTAAATAAACAACAAATAGGCGGGTTTTTTTTAAAAAAGGTAACATCCACTATTGGCAAACCAACATTTCTGATACACTGCTTGTGGGAGGGCAAATAGGTATGACCTTTCTAGAGGGCAATTTGCAATAGTAATAAAACATTTAGGCCAGGCGTGGTGGCTCATGCCTGTAATCCCAGC